CCACAACCCCTGCGAGAGATACCCAGCCTCGCGATGAGAAGCACGAGCCATCTCGCACACTGCCCCCCCCCCCCCCCCGAATTGGCTCATTCGCACGCGCACAGGCGCCAGTGCGCATCGAAACGGGCACGACGTCAGAGCAACACTAGCACTAAAGCATGAACCACACCCATGCGTCTTATAGTTGCGCGTGAAACGATCGTCAACTCAGGCACCGTCCTCGGAAATATCGAAAGATACGATGGAGGTGGTGACATGTCTGCAGTTCACTCTGCTGGCACTCCCTAGAATTTCCTGTACCTCCATCAAACATGGTAAATCTACCATGTCTCTGGACCCCCCTAGCAACCTATAGCAACATCCAAACCCTCCATCCCTCCATCCATGCTCATTTTCATCCTGACTGGTCCTTTCAACTTCAAGAGATCAAAGAGAGCTCAGAATAGCCTCTCCTCCTCGTTCTCTTTGTCGACGTCGTCGTTGTCGTCGTCGTTGTCGTTGTCGTCGGTGTCGTCGCCATCTTCGTCGTCGTCCTAGTCGTCGTCATCATCCTCGTCGTCGTCATCCTCCTCCTCCTCCTTCTTCCTTCTCACCCCCCTCCTCCCCGCCATCCCGCGACAGACACCGCCAGTTCGGCGACGGCGTCGACCTCCGATCCCGACGAGGACGGTAGCGACGACTCCCTCGACGGCGGCGGCCACAACGATGACGCCGACGGCGTCAGCGATGGCGACGACGCCAACGACAGAGACCGCCACGACGACTACGCGCGCATGCGGGTACGAATCGATGGGCGGTTGGGGTGGGGCTCCGATTTCGCCACTGACCGAACTTGAAGTTGTATGATTTCCGGCAACTTTCATTATCCCTGCCTGGGGGGTGGGGGGGGGGAGGCCGGGCGGGGCGGGGTGGGGCAAGTCGGAGCGGGGGTGCGCAGCGACCACAAGAATATGCGCGCGAGCATCAGCACGTGAGGGGAGGGGGGGAGGCCCTCCTCCCACGCACGATCGTTGCCGCCACCAGGGGGGAACAAAGGGGCCTGGCCCGGGTAGCGAGCGTTGCCTACCAGAAGGCGAAATAATCTATACGTGTGCATCTATAAAAGCAAGTGCAGCACAACCAATGAAAGTAATTCGACGAGGAGATCACATCATGTACATCTCATGTTCTGGCACGTCCAACTGTAAGCGTCTGGCCCCGAGAACTGGGCGTGAGAGTGGACCCGAATGGACGACGGGCACGACCACGATGACGACGGCGGCGGCTACGATGAGAGACAACGACGGCGACGACAAGAACTCACGAACGGCGGTGAGCACATGAGTTATTCTCATTTGCTTCCTTCCCCTTCTCTCCCCCCTGCGACATCCACACAGTCCGGCCGCGAACGGGGGAGTGTCCCGACCCTGGGCGGCTCATCCTTGGGCTGCCCAAGTGTCACATCTGCTATGTCGCGGTGCGCAGTGTGCCACCAGAAGCAGTGTCCGAGGCGACGAGCATGCAAACCGCCTGAGTCAACCCCACAATCTGAGCGCGGATAAGGGAGTGGCCCCACCCCTGGCGGCTCCCCCAGTGGGTCCCAAAAGCCACGCCTGCTATATCGTCGTGATCATTGGATTACCTAAAGATATGAGTCCGAGGCATCGAAACAAGCAAACCGCCTGAGACATCCCCACAACCAGAGCGCGAATCGTGAAGTGTCCCCATCCCTTGCGGTTCCCTCTTGTGGTGCCCGAGTGCCACATCTGCTATATTGCGGTGAGCATTGAACCACCAACAGGCAGGAGTGCGAGGATCTCAGTGTGAATGAATACTAGTGCGAGTCAGTCTGAGTAGGAGTAGGTCTGAGTGTGGAGAAAAACTAAGTGGCAGTGAATGTGTATGAGTAGGTATGGGTATGAGTGAGTCTGAATGTGAGTAAGTCTGAGTGTGAGCTAGTGTAGACATGAGTAGTGGGGTTAGTCTGAGTGTGAGCGAGTCTGATTGTGAATGAGCCGTAAGAAACTGATTTCGGAAAGGAGAGCACGAGGCGGGTAAGTGTGAGGCGGAGGCATCCTGGTAATGACAACGAATGCATATCTCAGGAGATGGGGAAATATACAAATACGGGGAGGCACAAACCTTAAGCGGCAACACATTAACAAACATGTATCAACTAAGCACCAAACAACAGAACAGTGATAATACATACACTCACTTGGGCCTGTGATTGATTTTGCTTTGCAGCATAGGTGGTAAGAAACACAGTGCACGTGAAACAAAACAGCATGAAGGGGATCCAGGCCCACCCCATCGCGTAATTACGGTCGTTACCGTTCCCCCCTGGGGGGGGGATAGCTAGGCCCTGGAAACCGCCGTTACGCGCCAGAGGGTTGACACACCAAACATCTCGCCTGACATGTTTGCACCGCGGCGTACAGCTGCCACGCTCCCCACCGGTCGCCTCCCGGCGGTCGCGCCATGAACGGGCGCCCCGCCCGGAGCGGCGGGACGCGCGCGG